AAACCACCAATCGCTTCGCTTTCACGTGTAAAAACCGCTGATCCGTCTGGATAGGATTGAAGGTTCGGTCGTTCCTCGGATCATTCTGTATGTACACTGTTCTTTAACCGCTTTTGCATTCGCTGCGGAGGAGTGACGAAACTGATATTATTAATCAGCATCACCGAGGTGGCGGTCTTTCATTCGGTAATTAACGCCATTCTGAGAAGATGGAAAAAAACGATAACCAATGGTGCAGCAATGCCTCGAAACGGTTTCGGTTTTACATTACGGACACCCTGTATAAGATTTTCATCTCGTAACGTACTTGATTAACGTACTTAACGAGTTAACGAACAAAAGAAAGAATGCGTGAATGAGAATCTAGTCTACAGGATGCTCTAAGAGTTTCTCAAATGAACCAGACTTAGAGATTCCTCGGAATACTCTGCACGTGACCGAATGAACAGTCGAAGAAAATGAAATATTTCACACAGCAGAATATTAACGACAGCAGTAGGTTTGTCACGTGATAATTCAATGTGCAGGATACTCGAAAGTTTCTCATCTAAATGGTATCATTGTCCTTTACAGTTCCTTTCATTTAGAACATTCCTACGAAACTTCGCGATCGTACACGAAACCAGTCCAGGAAACAGCTATCTAACACGTGAACCAGTTAAACAATCGATATCTACAGTATCTAAATCTACAGTAAGCTCCAAGATCTTCCAACTAAGAAGTCTCCAGCCTACTAAACGAATTCCATCCACAACCGACGATCGTTCAAACATTTATTCGACAACATTCACGATCAACGATCACTCAACGATTTCTCTATCAATATCCACGAACGCCATGCAAAAGTTCAAGCGATGTCCAATTACCAATGATCATTGAAACTTTTATTCGATAATCTCTACCGACAACGATCACACGAGAAACTCAAAGAAAACACCGCTGTCCATCGATTCCGTCGCGTTATCGTCGATCGGATCGAACAAGCGAAGCGTCGATCGCATGGCCCACGGTATCGAACGACTCCCGACGTTCAAGTGAAAGCTCGATAAGATCTCGAGCGTCTCTCCGCGAAGGATCCGCACTCGTCGGCTGGCAAGCGGCGTCGTGGAACACGTGGCCGAGCTGAAATGGCGGCCGCACGATAAAAATCGAGCTCGCCGCGCGCCTTTTGCGAACCGCGATTCAATCTTTCGCTTCTCTAACGTCG